CTGAGGCGGCCAGTGCCAGATTTCCTGACTGGACTGAGTTGACAGCCTGCAGGGCAGCCTGGGCGCGCGCTTGGTTGGGGGAGCTGTCGGTCTTGAGCTCCTTGTGGTTGGAGAACTGGATGTAGATGGGCTGGCTGTGCAGCATGGCCGCCACCGAGGTGTAGTAGTTGACCATGGTGTTGGCCGCCTCCTCTGTGTTCATCTCGATGAAGGCCTGGTTCTTCCCCTTCAGCATCAGCAGGTTGGTGACCTTTCCAAAGGGCAGCCCCAGGGAGATGACCTCGCCCTCGGTGACGTCACTGGGCAGCTTGCGGATATGCACCACGCGTGACGGGGCGCCCGAGCTCCTGCTGTCCCCCTTGAACTTCTTGCTGTCGTTCCCATTGGCTGCAGAGGCCGAGCTGCTCATGATAAAAGGCCCGTTGGTGACACAGGTAGAGAAGAGCTCCTCGGATCCCCGCTTGGTACCAATTGCTATGTCTGGGACAATGCCGTCCATTGCACACACAGGAGACCCGAAGGAGACGGAGTGGAGGCGCCGGAATCTGGTACCATCTTTAAAATTCTTTATTTAGGTAAAAGTTTATTATCATATTGATAGTCAATCACTAATATACAATCTGTTCTATAACATTAATTATAATTTATTAATGTAATTAATATTATAATGGCTGATCTACCTCTATTATATATTGCCTTTCCCTTCATCTAACTTATCTCTTAATTTGTATTCCACTCTTTTCTCACCTCTATAACCATCTAAGAGTGATTCTGCATGTAAACCTTTCCTTAGCTATTTATAGTAATAACCTTGTACAATAATTGTCCTTTTGTGACTATACAATCTTTCAAGGCAATTTAACAATATCTAGCAACACTTAGAGCCCACACATCCTTTGATCTTGCAATTTTTCACTTAGGAATTTAAGCCATAGTTATATTTAGAAAAGAATAGAAAAATCTCCAAAGATGGTCACTCTACTGTTGTTTAAAATATACATTAAAAAAATACAGCTATAAAACAATCTAGTGACAAATAGTAGGTAAATCGGCATGAGACAGTGTATTCAGCACGATCCCCTCCTTATTCACAAATATATAGCTATAAAACAATGATCTGCTATAATCCGTTTCAACCAGACCACCAGAGCCAACAGTTAAATTTCCAAGAATTATGTGAGCTGGTTTTAAACAAAGTCATTATTAGAAAATAAAATTATGTTTTGTAAATGAAAGTTTACAGAGACTTTGGATTTCCATTCAGTCATTGTTGCACTTTTCTCCCCGCCCACTCCCTCTCCTGCAATTGACTCTTCTCTTTGAAATGTAAAAGAAAAATTCTTTTATTGTTATACAATCCCTGCCTCCAGGTCCACTCCACTATGCAGCATTCATTCTGGACTCCT